AATAATAAAGATTAGAGCTGAAACAAAACAGAAAACAGAAAAATTGGGGGGTGGGGGGGTCACTGAAATGGAGTTGGGTTTTTAAAAGCGACAAAACTGACAAACTTCTAGCTAGATTAATGAAAAAAATAGCTGAAAACATAATAAAAAATAAAAGATGAAAGAGAAAACATATTTCCAATACCACAGAAATGAAAATGATCATTAACTTATGAACAATTATATATATCAACAAATTGGATAATATAAGAGAAATGGATAAATTCCTAAGAACATAAACTCTACCAAGACTAAATCATGAAGAAACAGAAAAAATGAAGGTCAATAATAAGTAAGGAGTTAATCAATAATCAATAATAATAACATGTCTTCCATTCATGAAAAGCCCAGATGCAGATGGCTTCACTGGTGAATTCTACCAAACATTTAAAGAACTAATGACATTCTTTCTCAAACTCTTCCAAATAATTCATGGAAGAACATTTCCAAATATACTTGAAGAAGCCAGAATTACTCTGATACTTAAGTCAGAGAAAGACACTACAAAAGGACTATAGACCAATATTCCTGATGATGGTAAACACAAAAACTACAACAAAATACTACCAAGCTGAATTCAACAGCACATTAAAAGGATCACACGAGACTGGGGTGGTGGCTCAGTGGTAGAGCACTCACCTAGCACATGCGAGGCCCTGGGTTCAATCCTCAGCACTACAGAAAAATAAATAAAATAAAGGTTTGGTGTTCAACTACAACTAAAAAATAAATATTTTTTTTAAAAAAAGGATCACACACCATAACAAAGTGAGATTATCTGAGATGGATGCAAGCATAGTTCAACAGTAGAAAATCAATTTGTGATATTCCACAGTAAAAGAATAAAAATCATGATCATTTCACACATGATAAAAACTCTCAGCAAACTAGAAATACAAAGAAATTACTTTAACATAATAAAAGCCATATATAAAAAGCCCACAGCTGACATCACACTCAATCTGTGAAAACTGTTTCCTCTAAGACCAGGAAAAGGAAAAAAGCCTCACTCTAATACCAGAAGTACTAGCCAGGACAATTAGGTAAGAAAAAAAATTAAAGACATCCAAATCAGAAGCCAGGTGGCTTCTGTAACATACCTGTAATCCCACACACCTGTAATCCCAGCAGCTCAGGAGGCTAAGGCAAGAAGATCAAAGCCCTCAAAATAAAAAAGGGGTTAGGTGCCCCTGGGTTCAATCACTAGCACCAAAAAAATAAAATAAAATAAAATAAAGGCATCCAAATCACAAAGGAAGAAGTAAAATTATGCCTGCTTATAGATGACAAGTTCTTATGTGTAAAAAATCTGTCTCCAAAACAGTAAACCTGTTGGAGCAAAAAAAATTCAGGAAAGTTACAGGGGCTGGGATTGTGGCTCAGTGGTGGATTGCTCACCTAGCATGCATGAGTCACTGGGTTCGATCCTCAGCATCACATATGTAAAATAAAACTAAAAAATAAATATTAAAAAAAAGAAAGTTACAAGATACAAATCAACAAATCAATCTGTTACCCCTTTTATACGGTAACAACAAATTATCTGAAAAAGAAATTAGGAAAATAATTAACAATTAATTAAATGAATTAAAGACTTAAACATTAAGACTCGAAACTATAAAAGAAGAAATGCTCCATGGCATTAGTCTTGGTGATAGTTTCTTAGAGATGACACCAAACACAGACGCAACGAAAGTGAAAACAGACAAGTGGGAGTACATCAAAGTACAACACCTCTGCTCTATAAAGGGAAAGGTGTGAAAAGGCAATCTACATAATGGGAAAAAACATTTGCAAATTACTTATCTGATAAAGGGTTAATATTTAAAATATACAAGGAAATCCCACAACTCAAAGAGCATGAAAACAAATAGCCCAACTTTAAAAAGGATAGAGGACTTGAATAGACAGTTCTGCAAAGAAGACATACATAACAGGCATATTTAATATGCTCCATATCATTACTTATTAGAGAAATGCAAATCAAAACCAGAAGATAGCATTTCACACCTGATAGAAAATGGATAGCCATCAAAAAAACAAAGAATAACAAGTGCTGGCACATATATGGAGAAATTGTAAAATCTATATACTGTTGGTGGGCGTGCAAATGGAGAAACAAAATTTAGGAAAACAGAATGAAAGTTCCTAAAAAAAAAAAAAATCAGAAATAGAATTACCATTTCATGCAGTAATCCCATTTCTGGGTATATGTGAAAAAAAGAACTGAGATTGAAATCTCAAAGAGAAATACAAACTCCATCTACTGTAGTATCATCACTGTAGTAAAGACGTAAAAATTACCTAAATTTGCATTGATAGACTATGAAAAAGAAAACATGTTCTATATACAAAATGGAATACTGTTCACCCATAGAAGAGAATCCTACCAAATAGATAGGATTTGTGGATCAAAATGGATAAAACTTGAAAACATTATATTAAGTGAAATAAGCCACTCACAGGACTCATAGAAGCAAAGAATAAAATGGTGATTGCCAGGAGCTGGGGAGAGGGAAAATGGGAAGTTGCTGTTCAGGGGGTGTAGTTTCAGTTATGCAAAGATGAACTAGCTCAAGAGATCTGCTATAACACATTTTGCTTATAATTAACAATACTTTGCTGTAAAAAACTTAAGTGGGCAGCCCTCATATTATCTGTTCTTACCATAATGAAAAACATTTTAAATTTAAAAAGATGGACACAAGAGCAAAGGAATTCTGAGACAAGCTATTCTGATATTGACCCATAGCCTTAATAGAAACTTTAATGCTCTTCAAGATGTCTTCTGCTTCTGCAGATAAATGGAAACCTTAGTGCACTCGTAGCTCTTGATGTTCTGTATCAAAGTTATTATTTAACTCAAATACTCATCCAAAACAATTTTTTTTGTTGTTGCTTGAACACAAAGGAAATTAATATTCTTTCAAGATATTTATAGTAGTTCTAATTTCCACATGGCTGGATCTATCCCAGGTCCCCTTGGCTTCACCACAAAGGATCCCTGCACGTTGTACGCAAAAGAGGCACAGAGAACCCTATATGTAACTCATGATGACTTAGCTATCTATCATTGTTCGTATAATAATCATCCCAGGGAAAAGTAGGGGGTGGGATAGGACTCTGAATGAGACCCACAAGGGACAAATGGAGGGGAGAAGTTACCCTCTAAAGGATTTGGGAAAATGTTTAGGAACTAGAACCAAAGAGATAAAAGCTATAGCTATGCCATTCAAACTCCTGTGCTCTCATAGTGGTTAACTTTTGTGTATCAGCTACACTTTCACAGTGGCATTTTTACACAAACAACTTTTATTTCAAAGTAGTTCAGTCAAGTTATGGAAACGTGAGTTCATTTAACCAGACTATATGGCACATTGCATATGAAGTGTTTCTATCTTTACAGTTATGGCCATTAAGAAAAAAATAATGACTGTCTTTATGTGGTATCTAGGGAAACCTAGAAGCAGGTCAATCATTTGAGGCAGTTGCTCATGCTTTCATATCCATCCTCTAGCTAAACAAACAAGTGCAAGAATACACAGGTTGATTTGAGGGGGAAAAAAGGGTTTTTTTCCACAATTAATAAAACGATTGCATCACTATAGAATTAAAGTACAAAAATGGATCATCCCAACACTGTATCTAGCACAATATATTTCTTTCTTTAAAACTGGAAGTCTAAAACATTACCAACCAGTGCCCATGGTACCATTTCAGTTCCCCAATCTGTGAAATGTTCTTTATATCTAGTTTCTATGTTGCCAAATACAAAGGTAATGAGCTGACACAAACACAAGCAAGAAAAAACTATTTCATGAGCACCCACTATGATATAGGCATTCCTCTAGGTGCTAATGATATAGCAGAGAACAATTTTCCCACAAGAACTTAACAAGTCCACCTTCATCTACTGCTGATCCTACATAGCCACAGTCACGAGATTTTTTTTCCAATACACTTTTCTATTAGTTCTGACTGACCTCAATTTACTTCAAGATTCCTCAAAGTATTTCTTCCAGTATATCTAGGAATTCATCAGTAACTGTTCTATTAACTGTGAAGTAGCATCTTCAAGGTTGGTACTTTATTTCTTAATATGCAGCTTTTACTGGTAATTCCCCATCAGTGATATTCCTATCACATTTCCCAGTAAGATATTCAACTTTTCTGCAATGGCTAATTTTCTACAACTGAAGAAAAGAAGGTGGGGAAAACAGTTGACTAAAACGCCTTAGATCATAACTCTTTAACTGCAGTTTTTATTTTGAAAACTCAATTCAAAATCCCCAAATTATACTTTGACATTTAAAGACAATCTTTGAGTAGCTATAAAAGTAGACAGAGTCTCTTACTTCTTTTGTTGTCTTGTTAATATTTTAAACATTTTCCATTTGTGAGATATAAACAGATTTAGGTATTTGGGCATATATAAATATTTCAGAATTTCTGCCACAGCTAGCAAAATTTATAAATCAATATTCATCAGCAGTTGGGTAAGCAAAAAAATAAAAATAAAAAACAAGGTTTTTACTGTTTTCCCAAGATGGTTCTGTATTATTCACCACTGTATCTGTCTACCTTAAATTTCTTTGTATGTTCACTTACAAGTTACTCTGTCCTGAAGTAAATATCGTAAAATATTACCCTTTATTGTACTTACTTCTAATGATTTGATAACTGGTCAGTATCCCTCAGTAGTAAGACCAACATATTATAGTATGTGCACATAAGGATACAGTTTTGTCTATTTGGAACCACCACTCCCTCCCAATCACCAGCAGTCCAGGAAAAGAAAAAACATACTCTGAACTACTGCTCAGTTCTCATTTGAGCAGACTTTACTTACACAAAACTATACTCTAGAAATACCTCAGTAGTTGGAGGATAAAGGGTACTTTTTAAACAAAAGGAAAAATAAAATTCAATGTCTAAAAAGAATGACAAAATGTGATACACACTTAACAACAACAAAAAAACTTTATTGAGTTACAAATTTTAAAATGGATCACTTAATTTAAAAGTGGGACTATTTTAACCTTATTATCCTTAAACTCATTCTTTCAAAAATGCACTTTATTTCTGAAATGATATAACAAAAGGTTCAACCATTAACTGACAAAGTAAATGTGGGTTAGTGCCCGTGGTCCAATCCTTAACATGGACATCAAGATGATTTGCAGAAAGAAACAGGAAGAGAGTAAGCAAAGGAAAGTGTAAAGCATGTATGGAGGTCTTTCTATGGTAACTGACAGAATGAATCTTCAGCATGATAAACTGTATACTTTGCAATAGTGGCCTTTTAAGATGTGCTAGAGCAATTGTAACCAAGTAACCAAGGTGAAAACTATTTTTTCTTATTCCTAACATAACAAATGGTAAACACATAAACAAACAAAAAAAAACTTAATCTTAAGATACATACTGTGAAATGACTCACTCTAATTCATGTTTTCAGTTGATTCAACAATCTCATTCATCGTATAACAGAACAAGTCTGCAATAAGGCTCAGAACAAAAATATCTTCTATCACCCTCCATACAGAAAGACCACAGCTTTAGTGATTCCTACAATCCTTATGCTTAATCCTTGGTCAGTATAGATTTTCAAATAAAATCAAGTCATGAACTGTTAACAATAACTATTCTACACTAAGATGCTAACATTTTCTTCCCAGTACATCTTCCTATGAGGAGAAAAAAACTGTCAGAAGCTTTTGCTCTTTGCCTGTAAGGAGATTTATGAAAAGCCCTATGAAACTATAACAATGTTCTTTTGTAAAACTAAAATACCCTACCAAGTCAAACAAGTAAATAAACAACAAACCAAACTGATTTTAACAAAGTCAAGTCATGTTTCCAAAAGTAAAATCTATTAAGAACAATTAATATACATGTACAAGAAATTACAAGAAATGATGATCACGGTTAGTTACAGATGCAAAAGTAATATGTAATTAGCCCAAGCATGTGAACATAATAATTAAAATCAAATTCATATGCTAGTTCAAATATTATGTACAATTTAGATAAGATGGTCAAGTATTATGTGAATACAAACCATATTTGGTAAACCTAAACTTATATTACCTTTTTTCTTCCTTTAATATTTGTAGGTATTTCATATTCATGCCAATATGAAAAAAAAAATGAAATTTTTATTTATGTATTAGAGAACAATAGAATTTCTACTGTACGCTTCAGACTGTAAAAAAATTAAGGAACATTTTCCTTTAAGAAGAAAAAAATAAAAATAAATTGCTAAAAGTTTGATAAAAGTTTAATATCAACTTACTTGTAAAAATGGGGGGGAAAAGGATTGAAACAGATATCATACAATTATTGTATGATCTCCCTACTGATCTGAAACTATAGAAGGCATTGAAGAAAGGGATGTTAGGTCAAAAACAAACACTAACCCCACGGGATGTATGCTGATTTAAAAATCTGACTTTCAAGAAATCTAGTTGTTTGGCCTAGTTTTAAAGCTAATTACAAAATCCATTTTCTTAATGGTCCAGATCCAATTCTTCCAACTCAACAGAACTGTCAAAAGAGAAGAAATATTTCATGAGACCTTTAAATGCAAACAAGGGGGCATATATTTCCCATTAACATAATATACATTGTAAATTGTTTTTTTTTTTAATGAGACATTTTTGGAAAAGATTTTTCACACATAGTAGTTACCTATCTCAAGGATTTGACTTAAGAATTTGACAACTTAAAATTTGACAACTTAAAATAGATAACCAAAAAAATGTATATATGAAACATTTTAGGTTTTTTTTGTTGTTGTTGTTACTGGGGATTAAGCCAAGGGGCACTCAACACTGCGTCTCGACCCCAGCCCTTTTCTGTATTTTATTTAGAGACAGGGTCTCACTGAGTTGCTTAGGGCCTTGCTAAATTGCTGAGGCTGGCTTTGAACTCTCATTCCCTCTTGCCTCAGCCTCCTTAGCTACTGGGATTTTTATTAAGGGCCTCCCTAGCCGCTTAAAAGTTTTTATTAAATGACTCTCTTGATTTTAGGTTGAAACAATAAAAATTGTGCTGGGCACAACAGCATATGCCTATAATTCCAGACACTCAGGAGGCTGAGGCAGGAGGACTGCAAGTTCAAGGTCAGCCTCACACTTCAGTGAGGCTCTAAGTAACTTAGTGAGACCCTATCTCAAAATATAAAATAAACAGGGTTGAGGATGTTGCTGAATGGTAAAGTGCCTCTGGGTTCAATACCCAGTACCAAAAAAAAAAAAAAAAAGTAAAAATTCCTACCAGCTTTCTACATTAACCTGAATTTTCTTAAATTCATTAGGCACTATGTCTTATATTCTGCTAATTAAGATTGTATTCAAAGCAGCACAATACATGCTCATAATAAAAAATTGACCAATCATGCAAAACAAATCTAAGAGAAATATCTGAACAAGTTTGCTCAACAGGATTGAAATTTTAAAAAAATAATAATAATCAATGTCCCTCTCCTAAATATCAATGTAAAATATTCACCAACTTAGAAGGGTAAGAAACACTGCTCAAAATCATGAAACCCTTTCAATATTGGTAAATTCTTCATCTCAGAATCAAATATTTGTATATAATGAAATAGGTACTGGACTTAACCTTTAGCCCCCAAAGTCCCAAATTACATTTGTGGAAGTTATTTGTCTGGCTTCCAATACACTTCTAATTTCCAGAAAATGATTTAACCTATGTGAATAATTCAAAATTAAGTATTAAACCGAAGTCTGTAAATGTAGCCAAAAAATTAAATAAATAAATAAACCTTTTACATACTTCACAAAAACTGATAAGAACACGCAGAATTTTGGGGACTGAGAGGCACTTTACATACATTATCTCTACTCTTCATCACAACCTTCAATGCCAGTATTATTTACATTTAATACATGAGAAAATGACAGTTAGTGATGGTATGTGCAAAAGATTTTAAAATCAGTTTATATGGTTCCAAAGACATGAAAGCCTCCCAACCCTACACCTGTAACAACCCTGCCTATATTTACAGTAAATGTATTTTTGGGACTAAGGTGTAACCCTTCTCTCAATTTTTAATTTTATTTTTGTAGCTCACAAAACCATTCAAGAATGAGTTATTTAAATAATATAAACTTATCAGTGAACCTACTTCAAAACCTACAGGCAACATTAAGGTTTAGTGAAAATGCCCATCAAACCATAAGACTGATCACCTGTAATTCCTAAAATAATAAAAATCATTGGGCTTAAGTTCAACAAGATAAAGAAAGTTTTACTGAATAAAAATCAATTAGAATAAGTAATAAACATATAGATTTTCTGGGAGTTCGAGAAGAAATGATGTAATGAATATAGGATCTTGTTATGATAACTGGGCATTTAAGATTCTCTCCTGGGGACTAGGGAGGTAGTTTGGTGGTGGAACTTTTGCTTAGCAAATGCAAGGCCCTGGGCTCAAGGCCCCAGTACCTAACAAAAGTGGGGGAAAAAAAAAGAAGATTCTCTTCTAGTTATTCTTGTCCCTACAACAAAACATATATAACAAGGAGGTAAAATCAAGTTAATTATTTCTAGTAGGATATAAAATAGCTTATTCCAATACAAGTAGTTAATAAAGGACTTCTACATTACTGAACAGTGTGAGAATACATGTATAATTTAGATACTAGGTAAAATTATTAAAAGACTAAAAAAATTGTTCTATTATAAATGAGTATAATATGAATTCAAGAGGGTGCCATACCTTCCATCGATTTCCACATTCATTACAAACAACAAATGTTGTCATTGGTTCATCTGCACTTCGGGTTTGTACCTGCAGCAAAATCAAGTGAAAGATATTACTTAAGTAGTACTATAAAAAAAGAAAAACCTAAAGAACATCAACATATAGATATGTAATTATCACAATGGTACCAAAATAAAATGTGTAAGAGCCTAGAAAAAATACAAGTAAGCAAAATAATATCAAAGAAGCATGTATTTCCAAACTTGATTTTTCTAAACCCCTTTCCTCTTCCATGTTTAATTTATCCCAGATAAGTAGGGAAATCCTCTAAAATCACCCATTAAATATAAATAGTTAACGTGAAAAAACATTCATCAGTAACAAATACAAAAATGTACAAATTTAAACATGTTGATATTCTCTTACAAAGTGGCAAAGATGTAAAAACTAAGAATATTTCATTCTGACATGTAACTCCTACAACCTCCTAAATTAAGCAATAAGGTTAAGAATCTTAAATAACTATTGTCTCTAACCTATCTATTCTAAGACGGTAATTAGAAACATGAAGACCTATGTATAAGAATATTTGAAAAATCCAATTTTATAATAGCAAAAGTGCTGGAAACAAGTATCCAATAAGGAATTAATGTACTAAAAGTGCATCCATCTGATGGAATATTATATAGTCATTTGGATTTTGCAAAGGATCATGTTTAACAATTAAGAAAATGCTTACACTTATAGAATTTACATGAAAAGTGAATAAGACAGTTTTGGCAGCATATACCTCCAAGTATATGTAAAAAGAAAATCACAAAATATTGCAAACATTAAAATACTGATGATTTACTCTCTATAGATGGCAGATGAAAGGGTGATTTGAAATCTCTTATTCATGGGCTGAAGTACATAGCTCAAAAGTATGGCATGTGCTTAGCACACATGAGGATATGGTTTTAATCCCTAGAACCACCCACCACCCATCATATATTTCTGTAATTTTCCTAAATTTCAATAAGTAAATATTATTATGTTGCACAAATAGTTTATATGCTCATTTGATCTAGCAATTATACTGCAGAGTATATAACCAAAAGAAATAATGAAGTAATTGTAAATTCACTTACATATCAACATTACTCACATTTAAATTTTTTGTATCAGTTATTTTCACGAGAACTTTGGAAGGTTTTTTTTAATTGAAAAGACGTAATTTTTTTGATTTTTTTTTAAAGTTAATATTTATTTATTTTTTTTAGTTATTGGCGGACACAACATCTTTGTTTGTATGTGGTGCTGAGGATCAAACCTGGGCCGCACGCAGGCCAGGCCAGCGTGCTACCGCTTGAGCCACATCCCCAGCCCTAATTTTTTTGATTTTAAGAAATCATACTAGGCTGAGGTTGTGGCTCAGTGGTAGAATGCTTGTCTAGCATGGTATGAGGCACTGGGTTCAACTCAGCACCACATAAAAATAAATAAATAAAATGGAGTTACTATGCCCATCTACAATTAAAAAAATTAAAAAGAAATCATACTGACTTCACATTTAGACTAGGTTCCTTCTGTTAAAAGAATTTTTTTTTATCTTAGCTGTTTATAACCTGATAATGTAAGATATATCACTTCTACTTTCCTGAGCCTTTTCTACCTGACTAGAAGAAAATAGCGCAACTAAAACGCAGAATTTTCTGAGACTACTTCTATCACATACATGTTCAATTCAATAACTGTCAGTAGTAAAACTTCTACACATCAAAACAATAAATTATAAGACATACAAGAATTATGGCCTGTTTACATAATACCCAGTAATCAACTGCTGATGAACTGTTAAAATACAAGTCATCTTGGGCTGGGGATGTGGCTCAAGCGGTAGCGCGCTTGCCTGGCATGTGTGCGGCCCGGGTTCGATCCTCAGCACCACATACAAACAAAGATGTGCCCGCCGATAACTAAAAAATAAATATTAAAATTCTCTCTCTACCTCTCTCTCTTTAAAAAAAAAATACAAGTCATCTATTAAACAGCATATATTTTATTTAATTAACTGATACAGTTTTCATAGCAACTATTTCCATGAAGGTATGATTTTAACAATTTATTTTTTCTTAACTGCAATCGGTATTAAGAAAAGCATTCTTTCATCTTAGAGATATCTCTTTTTGAAAATTATCAAAGTACTGGTAATTATCCTTGGTACCTATAAGCATTGTTAATATGAAAATAAGAATCTATAAATAATCACAAACCTGTGTGTAAGTGCAATTCTTCTTTTTACATTTACCACATGTGAACAAGTCAGTCTGAGTGCCACCGGTCTTGGCCATCTGATGCTCTCTGATGGCTTCTTTGGTCAAGTTTTTCCGCATCTCTTTGAGCTCATCACTAGCCATTTCCTATGATGGAGGTGGAAATACCACTCAGTTACAGAAATCTTCTATACAATATGTATATCCTATGATCTAAATGCTTTAATGTTCAGTTAGCTTAATAATAATAATAATCAGCATTTAAAAGTTTAAGAAGTATAAAATTAATATTTTTTCTTAGAGAACTTATAAGAGTTTGCTTCCTTTAACATTTTCTTCAAATGCTCATAAGTTTGCATGTTAATACTGGAATTAATTGTTGTTTAAAGGCTATAAACAATGTAAACCTGTAACAATGAGTACCTATAGTATCCAGATTGTGGTCTCTAAATACCACAGCCCAGAAGGAAGCCAGGGACCTTTGGAGAAATTCAAGCCTTGGGGTAAGAAGAAAAAGGATATGTCAGGGTCATGTTCTGTACCAAAAATCACAGAAGATACCAGAGAGTATCACAGTTGAGTCCAATGGAAACAGAGGTCAATGTGAAGTAACTCCTATCAGCCAAAAATAGGACCATTTCTTATCCATTAAATTAAATTACTGTAAAGAACTAATCCCGAGAAGGATAGAAGATGGCGGCGAGGGGAGTGCATTGCCCCCGTGTGCTGCTTCACTGTGTGGGAGTATGACAAGTCAGGATGGCTAAAGGCTATCTTGTTAGGAATTTCCAGCAATAGTGGGGTGCTCCGGAACATGGAGGAAGGATTTCCATCGCACGAGGATCGGCTACGGGGACTCAAACGCGAGACGTTTGTCGCACGGAGGGTAATACTACTTATTCAGCAAATCGCCCCGCGGCTAGAGTCTGCAGCGCGCGCTGGGAAACGAGGAGATAGCAACGCAGGGATACAGCGCTGCAGTTTTTGCCAGCCGTGCAAGCACCGTACTCAGGGCTGAATTCTGGGTTCGAGACGGGGGAAGGAAGCGGTCCATCTCGGTTCTCCACACCGGTCAGACCACAGAGGAGGCCAGCAGTCACCATGTTGGAAAGCTGACGTCACCATCCCTGTTTTCGACTGACCGCAGCACATTCAGCCATAGAACAGGTAATTTCAGGCTGCCATTCGCCTGCGGCTTGCAGACAGATTGCTAGGATTCAGTGCATGGGTGCTTCTTAGAACCTGATCTTATCGGAGCGAACACCGAGGGCGGGGCGGCCCGGGGCGGCCGAGTTCCGGCTCCCGGAACCGCCCTGGCCCAGGGCTGCGGAGCCTGCGGAGGCTGCTTCTTGGACCCTGCTCCTATCAGAGCATACACCAAGCACTAAGCGGCCGAATTCCGGCTCCCGGAACTGAGCCCGCGGGGACTGCTTCTTGGAGCCTACACTTATAGGAGCTTACACCGAGCACGAAGCGGCCGAGTTCCGGCTCCCGGAACTTCCCTGGCCCGGGGCTAGGAGCCCGCGGAAACTGCTTCTCGGTCCGGGTCCTGCTGAGGGCCGGTCAGGACTCAACCGTTGCTTTGGTTGCCCGGCAAGGGGAACGAAATGCTGCCATTTGCATAGGATACCAACATGACAGAGATCTGATGTCATCAGAAAGCGGCGGAGGAGAGAACTTCATCAATACCAGCGGCGACACAGTTGGTCTCCTGGTAGGGGGGGTGAGGCACAGACACCCGAGTCTCCTCAATTTGTCCTCGAGCCAGAGGGGAGGAGCCGGGCCGCCGCCAGCGCCCGGAGCAGGCCCAGCGGCTCGCCAGCGTGGTGACTGCGTGACCCCAATTAGAGAGGGGGCGGAGCGGAGCCGCCACCCGCACCCGCAAGGTGGGCAGACCCGCGACCCAGTGGTACATGGGCGTGGTAGGAGGGGCAGGGCAGAGACGCCCTTAGCGCTTGCAAGGTAAACAGACCTGTGACAGCCTGGCGGGTCAGGCCCAGGGGCCTGCCAGTGTGGTACACACGTCACCCCAACTGGAGTAGGGGCAGAGCAGATCCTTCTCCCACGCCCGGATCAGGCCCTGCCGGTGTGGTGGCCACGTGACCCAATTGGAGTGGGGGCGGAGCGGAACCGCCACCCGTGCCCACAGGGTGAGCAGACCTGTGACCAACCTGCAGATCAGGCCCAGGGGTCCGCAGGCGTGGTAGGAGGGGCAGGGCAGATCCGCCGCCCACGCCTCCAAGGTAGGCAGACCGGCGGATCAGGCCCAGGAGCCTGCCGGCGTGGTACACACACCACCCTAATTGGAGTAGGGGCAGAGCAGAGTCGCCGCCCGTGCCAGGAACAGGCCCAGCGTCCTGCAGGCGGGGTAGTCACGACACCCCAATTGGAGTAGGGGCAGAACAGAGCCTCCACCCGTGCCCGAAAGGTGGGCAGATCTGCGACCGACCAACGGGAAAGGCCCAGTGGCCTGCCGGTACGACAGACACGTCACCCCACTTGGAGTAGGGGCAGAGTAGAGCCGCCGCGCGCGCCTGCAGGGTAGGCAAACCTGCAACCGACCGGCGGATCAGGCCCGGTGGCCTGCCGACGTGGTACACTCGTCACCCCAATTGGAGTAGGGGCAGAACAGAGCCGCCGCCAGCGCCCAGAACAGGCCCAGTGACCTGCCGGCGTGGTAGCCACGACACCCCAATTGGAATAAGGAGAGAGCAGAGCCGCCGCCCGCACCTGCAGGAAAGATACGCAAGCAGTATGAAAAGACAAGGAAAGAAAGGACCACAAGCAATGCAGGTCAACGCAACTTTAGAAAAGGTAACAGCTGCAGCAGATGGAATGTCAGATAAAGAATTCAGGATATACATGCTTCAGATGATCTGGAGTATCAAGGAAGACATTAAACAGCAAAATCAGACAATGAAAGATCACTTCGACAATGAATTACGCAAACAAATCCAGGAAGCAAAGGATCAACTATACAGGGAGATAGAGGTTATAAAAAACAAACAAACAGAAATCCTAGAAATGCAGGAAGCAATAAACCAACTTAAAAACTCAATGGAGAATACTACCAGCAGAGTAGAACACTTAGAAGATAGAACATCAGACAATGAAGATAAAGTATTTCAACTGGAAAAGAACATACACAGCTCAGCAAGACTGTTAAGAAACCATGAGCAGAACATCCAAGAAATATGGGATAACATTAAGAGACCAAACTTAAGAGTCATTGGGATACAGGAAGGTACAGAGCTCCAAACCAAAGGAATGAGCAGTCTATTCAATGAAATAATACGAGAAAACTTCCCAGACTTGAAGAATGAGACAGAATCCCAAATCCTAGAAGCCTACAGGACGCCGAATGTGCAAAATCATAAGAGATCCACACCTAGACACATTATAATGAAGATGCCCAACATACAGAATAAGGAGAGAATTTTAAAAGTTACAAGAGAAAGGAAGCAGATTACATTTAGGGGTAAGCCAATCAGGATAACAGCTGATCTTTCAACACAGACTCTGAAAGCTAGAAGATCCTGGAATAACATATTTGAAACACTGAAAGAAAATGGGTTCCAACCAAGAATTGTGTATCCAGCGAAATTAAGCTTCAGGATGGAAGATGAAATTAAAACCTTCCAGAATGTGATTGTAGACGGCTGGTGTGAGTTCGGGAATAAAGAGTTGCTGTTTGAATCTACAAGCTGTGTGGTGGCTCGTGATTGTGTGCCCAGCCAGACTGCGGCATTTGTGCCCAGCCAGACTGCGGCATTTGGCGTCCCATGCGGGGAGCTTCTGAAGCTTAGAGAATAATATTTATTGAATATCAGAGCAAACACGAAACACCAAGAAGCCGAATTCCAGCTCCCGGAACTGAGCCCGCGGGGACTGCTTCTTGGAGCTTACACTTATAGGAGCTTACACCGAGCACAGAGCGGCCGAGTTCCGGCTCCCGGAACCGTCCCGGAACCGCCCTGGCTCAGGGCTGCGGAGCCCGCGGAGGCTGCTTCTTGGACCCTGCTACTATCAGAGCATACACCAAACACTAAGCGGCCGAATTCCGGCTCCCGGAACTGAGCCCGCGGGGGCTGCTTCTTGGAGCCTACACTTATAGGAGCTTACACCGAGCACGGAGCGGCCGAGTTCCGGCTCCCGGAACTTCCCTGGACCGGGGCTAGGAGCCCGCGGAAACTGTGTCTCGGTCCGGGTCCTGCTGAGGGCAGGTCAGGACTCACCCATTGCTTGGGTTGCCTGGCAAGGGGAACGAAATGCTGCCATTCGCATAGGATACCAACATGGCAGAGATCTGATGTCAGCAGAAAGCGGTGGAGGAGAGATCTTCATCAATACCAGCGGTGACATAAGCAGTTGGTCTTCTGGTAAGGGGGGTGAGGCTCAGTCACCCGAGTCTCCTCAATTTGTCCTCGAGCCGGAGGGAAGGAGCCGGGCCGCCGCCAGCCCCCGGAGCAGGCCCAGCGGCTCGCCAGCGTGGTGACCGCGTGACCCCAATTGGAGAGGGGGCGGAGCGGAGCCGCCACCCACACCCGCCAGGTGGGCAGACCCACGACCCAGTAGTACATGGGCGTGGTAGGAGGGGCAGGGCAGAGCCGCCCTTCGCGCTTGCAAGGTAAACAGACCTGTGACAGCCTGGCGGGTCAGGCCCAGTGGCCTGCCAGTGTGGTACACACGTCACCCCAACTCGAGTAGGGGCAGAGCAGATCCTTATCCCACGCCCGGATCAGGCCCTGCCGGTGTGGTGGTCACGTGACCCCAATTGGAGTGGGGGTGGAGCGGAACCGCCACCCGTGCCCGCAGGGTGAGCAGACCAGTGATCAACCTGCAGATCAGGCCCAGGGGTCCGCAGGCGTGGTAGGAGGGGCAGGGCAGATCCGCCGCCAGCGCCTTCAAGGTAGGCAGACCTACAACAGACCGGCGGATCAGGCCCAGGAGCCTGCCGGCGGGGTACAAACACCACCCTAATTGGAGTAGGGACAGAGCAGAGTCGCCTCCCTTGCCAGGAACAGACCCAGCATCCTGCAGGCGGGGTAGTCACGACACCCCAATTGGAGTAGGGGCAAAGCAGAGCCTCCACTCGTGCCCGAAAGGTGGGCAGATCTGCGACCGACCAGCAGGACAGGCCCAGTGGC